ACTCCTGTACTTCTAAGCCCCGTTAATTTCTCTGCGGCTCCGCATCAGGCATCAGCCCTACTGTGCGAGCCCATCTGTGGTGGTATGATGGCTCTTAGAAGCGCGCAAGGTACGCGACGCGTCATACGCTCGCCTCTGGTTCTGGTCCAAAAAAAACACATTGGCATTCCTTTTCAACACTAATTAATCTAACAAAATTTATGTAGTACCCGAAATAAGAAGTACATAAATATCTTTATGACCTTGCAATTTGTTATTAAAAATTTAATAAGTACCTACCTATTGACCGTTTGCCTGACGGTGATGAACCTACAACATCAACAGCCTATAAGTGACCACTGCTGACCAAAGGTCTCTTCTCACACGGAGAAGGTTTGAGCATTAACCACCACGCTTCCTAAATGCGGGTTGGTGATTTCAAACTTATCATTAGAAATTATAAGCTCAGGTTTCCTCATGATGTTCTCCTTCACCGTTTGTCAGTGGTGTCTAAATATAACTCATGAAAAGTCACATTGGTACTTTCTGTTGGCAGGTTTTGAACCCGCGCCCTCATGCATAAAAGCAGGGGTCTTAAACCTCAGGGCCACCACAACAATATGACATTAGACAATAATATAGACCTTAGACAACAATATAATACAAAAAAGAGTACCATTAATTTCAATTTTCTTCTAATTCAAAAAAAGGAGTTTCTGAATATTATGTCCTGTGTGTATATACTTACATACGTACACGCGGCCACACATCAATCTATACAAAACCAGTTTATCCTGGTGTCGCTTCGCATCATCTTTCCGCACATTTAACGTTCAGTTTATACTGGTTATGTTAAGCTCGATGTGTAGCCGTGTGTACATACATATGCAAAATGTAAGCATGTAATGCGAGCTTATCTCGCGATTGGCTGATCCGATTGTGATGCGGTTTTCAAAAAAGTGTTTGTTACACTTATGAATAGGTTTTTTATATTAATATATAATACAAAAACAGCGGGTCTGAAGTCGGCTTTTTTAAATGTCGTTCCGAAGAGAATTATAAATATTTGTGTCAATTTGAATATGCTCATGTTTGTCCAGTTGTAGTAAGCTATTAGGTAGGTACAGTAAATAATTCACTGAAGGAATGGTCACTCTCATCCACACAGTACATAATGGTACTACTTACAAACTACTTACAACATAAAAGTTCATTAATAAAATATTCCCGACATTTTATAGTTAGGTGATTAAAAAAACAAGGTTCCCTAAGTACAATTATAACTACAGCTAGTTAATTAGATCAACGTTTCCAAACACACTTAACAACCAAAATTAGTTGGATTTCCATTTCAATTTAAAGTAGAAAACAAACAAATACCTATCTAATCTAACACGAAAAGATATCGAACAAATATAAAGTCCAATCAAATAGACCACTGTCAAATATAAGTTACCAGTCGATTCGTCACAGAAGATATATTACAGTGAATTATAAAATTAAATTAGTGCAGTGCGACCCCAACAAGTACCAACTAATCGGCATCCTATGGTCTCTATAAAATCACATTAAGTCGCTATGTGTACGCCTTGGGGCCACTGTGGGATGACGCTGCTATAAATTATACTGGAACTGCCCAAATACACGCTCTTTGGACGTAGTTATGCAGTGTTTGCGTTAGGTTTGAAAATTATTTTGTGGTATTTTATTTGTGTCAAATTTACCGCCGATTTTTCAATCATCAGATAATTTATAACTGTATAATAAAATTGACAGTTCTTTGACAGTTTTTGGTATGGAAGAATTGTCAAATATCTATTCTAACTTATCCTCTGATTTTAACGGCTGTTGGAAAAATCGGCCCTTATTATTGGAAAACTAATATTATCAGTTTTCTACATGTAATGAGTATTTTTCCTGTGTGTATGGTATTTTTTAATAATTATGGTAAATAATATCATCATAATTATTCTAATTATAACAACATCAACAACCTCAGCGCGTTTTCTTTAACTGCTACGTGTATTTCTCTGATGGCACGCCACTGACAATCTGTATTGTATCCAATCCCTATGAGCCACATTGCAAGTATCGTCAGTTGAGTGTGATGAAGTGATTCCACCCAATATTATATTTAGAGAATTTTATTTCTGTGGAATTGTCTTACACTTGAGCAAATTATTATTTCCAGTGCCACATCCAGTTAGCTGTAAATCATTGTAATCTATAGTATGCTCACGTTTTTGCAGATTAAAAATGTAATTAATTTTTTATAGCTTGCTCTATTGGCTTGTGCAAATGCTGTTATATTTAGGTCGTGTACCAAACGGTTACGATTATGAGGTTTACCCACTTTCCAATGCTATGATTAGTTTATTTTTGATTTGAAGGGTAACTACATACTTAGATATTTTTATAATAACTATCGTGAGACATAGGTACTGAATTAACTAAAAACAACGGCTTACTCACGTGTGTTATACTGAGAAAAGCTCTACTAGTTTCGAGTCACAGAGGGAGTCTTCCTCACGAGCAACGTGCGCGGTCAGTGATATCACGCATCCTACTCTTGTGTGGCTCGAAACTAGTAGAGCTTTTCTCAATTATTTACGTGGGTAAACCATTATTTTTAGTTAATTACGTAGCTACTGTTGTATTAGAACAGATGATTAGTTCGTTGAGTGTAAAAATGGTATATAAACAGATACAGTGAAATGAGAACTAAAACAAAGACTTGGTAACTATATCATTGTGCTTGGTATTTGTAGACTACAAGAAGTCCTTCGATTCGGTCGAGACTTGGGTTGGACTCGATATGAGGCCAATAAGCATACATACCCATACCCATACCTACCGAACAAAGGTCGCCGACATAGCCCAGCGGATTAGCAAGTTGAAGTGGCAGTGGGCAGGGCACATAGCGCGGAGAACCGATGGCCGTTGGGGCAGAAAGGTTCTCGAGTGGAGGCCACGTACCGGCAAGCGCAGTGTAAGACGTCCATCCGCAAGGTGGACAGACGACCTCATTAAGGTCGCACTGAACCGCTGGATGCAGGTCGCTTCCAACCGGTCTATTTGGAACTCTTTGGGGGAGGCCTGTGTTCAGCAGTGGACGTCCTGTGGCTGATATGATGATGATGATGATGATGATGAAGCATACCTATAATACTATGTTTTAATGCAAACAAATAAATAAGAATTTTGATATTCAAATAGAGTTTCTCAACTTCTTGTACCATAACGCCACCAAGCACTGTAGCAGAGAAAACGGTAGATGCGATATTCCAGTGTGAAAAAAATTTAAAAAAATCTACCTTTTGCGGTATTTTTACATACGTTCCATACTTCTTTATCGTCATCATCAACAGCCGAAAGACGTCCACTGCTGGACAAACCCCCCAAAAGTGAGTGGGGACTAAGAAGGACTAAGGAGTCCTCCACGTCGAACGACTCACCACTTGCATCCACTGCCTCCCCACAACTCTGGCGATGTCGTCGGTCCGCCTAGCGGGAGGCCTACCCACGCTTCATTTTCAGGGTCCGTGGTCTCCACTCAAGGACTTTCCTGCCTCATCTGGCGTCAGTCCGTCGAGCGATGTAGCCTGCCCATTATCACGTCAGTATACACCATACCACACAGTATACTCCATACTTCTTAATTTACAAAAATAAGGAACAAAAACGTGGATAACTTAAAATTATCAGTTGTCCGTAAAAATGTGTAGGTTACGAGTCTTAACGCTACGCATCTATCTAGAGACAAGTAGCGCCATCTTCTTGTGGAAGTCGACATTAGTGTCCATATTTTGTTTACCGTCAGAATCTAGTCAAGGGCCTCGCCTTTAACACCACTCATTTAATATTATTGTACACACGGCCACACATCAATCTATACAAAACTTGGTGCACCACCATACCTATCTATAAAAAAGTTTAGCCTGGTGTCGCGTCGCTTCATCTTTCCTCACATTTAACGTTCTGTTTATACTGGTTATGTAAAGCCATAATGGTCATAATGGTCATAATTAACCATTAAGCATGATTTAATAACCAACTCAGCTAGTTAAGTAATAATATTTTTTGTTTTTTAAGCGGAAACTTTAAAATGGGCCTATGTCATCAAGACATAATAATGATATGGACGCTATTAACTCCCTTGGTGTTAACTTTAATTAGGTCGTTGATAACAGTCCGTGACTTGTTTCTGGTAGTACAAGCCACAGATAGGATATGTATAATAATATATAGGATATCTCTTGCAGTTTATCTATCACTTAGCACTTTAGCACCCAGTCGCGGGAGTAAATTGAATTGCTTAACTTTCTTTTACGCCGTATGTATAAAAAAGATGATCGTTTTCACACCTATTGGCACAGCTGAACAGTAACACGCCGAACAACAACTTGCAATCTAACTTAAGTCCAAAAGCTCTCGCGAAGTAGCGACTCTGATAATGTCGTCGTTTGTCGTTGGTCCACTAAGTAAGAGGATTGCCTAAGTTTTACTGTCCGCAGTCATCACTTGAGCCCTTCTTGACACCTCAGTCTGCTCTTAAATGTCTACCTACTCACCCATGGCCACTTCAGTTCAATTCATATTTTTTATTAGTACCTACCTACTTCTTAAAGAATCTACAGGAGCAAGGCATAGATAGCTTGATCCACCTAATCTAAACGTTTTAATAGTGACTCCAAGTGACATCTGTTAGGCGAAAACCTAAATACTAACCCCATGACCGTAGGTTTTTATGAGTTGGGATCATACGCTACAATCTCGAAAGTTTAATACATGACGCGCCATCTGTGCCGGCACTTTAGTAACTTTCAACATTGTACTATCAAAACTCAAGAGGTAAAACTAAAACATTACCACAAAATAATGTCGAATGAAAATAAAATAAAAGTCTTTGTAAAAAAAATATTAAAGAAAAAAATCAACGTTCTTGACAAAACCCAATTTATGTAGCATTGGGTAGCAGCATTTTTGCACAATGGACTTTATTGATCGGGTAACATTTCAGGAACCTTCCACAAAATGGCCGCTCGCTAGTTCTGTTGTGGAGTGACAAATTGAATTATTTATAGTCCCTTCGCCTCTGTGCTGTCGTATGTTATTGGTTTGAGTGTATAATTCGTTTGTGTTAAGAACCAACATGTATTTTAAATTCATCGCAATAGTTTTCGCTGCGACCTGTGCAGTATTCGTGACTGTAAGTATCAGTTAATATTATCATATTATCTTGTCTTTCTAGTTGTTTTTCTCATTATTTGCGTGTTATTACACGCCCCGGTACCTGCGCACTTAAGATAAAATATCATTGATTTTCTCCTTCGGACCTCTAAGGGTTGGACCTCTTTGTTCAATTATCGATTTTAAGAAGTCCTTTCATTTTGTCATATTAGGTAGATAGTTGTGATCTTCTAAAATATAATTTATTCTTTTCGGTTTTTACAGTTTAATTCTAGTGGTTTACGTTGACTTACTATTTATAAAATGTTGGTTTTAAATCTTACGATAAAGTGTTTTGTAAATTATAATTATATAAACTGGTCCAGCCCACGACAAATTCAAATTCCTTTTGGTTTTGCCAGACATAATTAATTATTGTATCCTATAAATAGTAGGTGCTCTGTGCTCTCACTGTGCTAGTGCCAGATCGGGATAATAGCCACTTAATGTCCCACCATAACTGGCCGTACATTACCATACTGCATTACTGCCTCTTCTAATACGCCTAATATACTAGGTAACCAAATATACTGGTATAATACTGATATTATACCAGCATATTTGGTTACCTATGGAGTCTGAACTCCATGCTACTACTGAGAAGCTTTACCTCATATGAGCCTTGCACAGGTAGCCTATGAATCTATCATTATGCTAGACAGTCGTGCTAATAAACCACTCACCTTTTCTAACTACTATTTCACATTACAGGGCCACTCCTATGAAGATTATCGCTGTAAATGTGTCTGCCCAAGCCCAGCTGCTGTTCTCAACAACACAACTGGAGCTGATCGTAGCCCTTTCATGAAATCCGCTAACGTACCTCCGAACAAATGGTAAGGAAATCATAAACAAATATTTTCTTTGTTATGTTCATACCTAGTTACTTCAACTAGGCTGAATATGATATGTTCTTCCATATCTGAACATTATTACATTATAAGGTTGTCATGCTAAACACACTTTATAATGGTATAAATGCAAAAGACAGTTGCCGGAATCCTGAAATGTTACTCAATTTTAAGTTGTGCTCAAATATCGTGCCATCTCTGTCATTTTACAAAGAATTTGTAGAGATAGAAAGAACTATACTTAGCACGACTTAAAATTGAGTAGCGTTTCAGTATTCCGACAAGTGTGTCTTATTTATTTGTTCATCTTTCACAGCTAATGAACAGATGAATAGATGTGATTTTTTTAAGTGATTATAGTTCAAGTGATGAATAGTTATATAGTAGCCGGTAGGAAGTGATGGAGAGTTATATAGGCTACTTCCACTTCAGCTACAGGTGGAAAACTAATTTATTTTTCTTCATAGGAACATTGCGCCCCAACCCATCTATGAGGAAATATTTGTTCTATTTAAACAGTGCTTCCATATAATAATGTTTAAAGATTTCAATTGTCAATATTTTATTATGAACCTGATTGGAAAAGAGCAACCTATGGAGTTCTTGCTCATTCTTCTCCATAGTATACTCCTTGGTAGCTACACCTAAGTTCGCTTAATTTTTTTGTTGACGTTCAAAAGTGGCCTACCTGGGGGCTTACTCTTGAATCCAATTCTGATTGATCGACATTGGTATTATGTACTCTTGAGTTCCAACACTAGCGCCCATGGCATCCATAATGCGTGGATACTGAATGGTATTAAGATTATTTCAGATTGGCTTTATTGAATATAATACATACACTGAATGCTTTTTCAATAGCTATGATAGGGTGTATAGTTTTGACATTATATAATTATTGAGATTTTATTGGATTGAAATTGTATTGACATTGAGATTGGTTTCAAGAGTAAGCACCCATGTCTAATTGAAATAAATGACTTTGACTTTAAAATAAGATCAAATCAGTTTAAACTATTCAAGTGTTAAGTTACAAAATGAAAATTAAAAGTCGCTTTAACAAGTTCTCAGTATTGTGGTGTGGAACATATTCAATTGCACTTCAGTTCTGGCACTTAACCTTATTAATCACATGAAAGGCAAACGATAACAACATGACAATGTTGTATGCTGAGCTAAAATAAGTCTCGCTTCAAGAATATGGGATGATCACGTGGGCACATTCAATGCCATTGCTATTGTAGTTTCATAAACGTTTATTCAATTGGTGTGATTGCACCTTTTCATTGCAGTGCAATTGTGCGCCCATGTCTTCCTTTTCCTTGATGCTACTGCCATCTCAATTTGGTGCGAATTTATATTTGTATTGCTTTGCCGCTGTTGCCATTTACATTATTTAGGTACATTATAACAAAATTGGTTATTACACATGGCACATTTTCATAGGACGTCTATGCCAAAATGTTTAGATGCAAGCTGCTTAGTTTGGACATAATTCACAATGAGCAATTAAGCTTGTTTATTAAAAAAAAAACATTATCGCCTGAACTTTTTCATTCAATTTTAATTATTTATAACTTTAAATTCTAAATGGAAATTTTGCAGAGGTGCACCTGTTATTCATTTATAAATTGGTGCATAACACACAGACACAGGACAGTACACAGGAGAACACATATATAAATACATTGAAGGTACATAGGTACTGCATATTCCAGTACAAATCTATTTCTGCAGTCCCTGGGTTCCTCCGGTTATGTTAATAGTCCCGAGCCTATGGCCATTAACTCTGCTTTTACTGAAAATTTTTCTAAATCCCTAAAAACCCCCAATAAATATAGCAAAAATGAATGATAATATACTAAAAATGTACATTATTATAACATAATATCACGCCTTTTATGCCCGAAGGTGCACATTATGCCACTGTACAATGTAACACCCACTTTTCACTATTTATGTTATGAGTCCCATGTAATAGGGGGTAAGTCTATTGCCATATACCGGGCACAATTCCAGACTCCATGCTGCTACTGAGAATTTTCGATATAGGTGTATTCGAACCTGAGACCCCTTGCCAGGCAGTCACATTCGGCCAACGAGGCAGTCAGTACATTATTATCAACATAGTAATCTAACTTCTAAAGCGAATGAATGAGCCTTTTAGCAAATGTGCAACTGCAATATGACTTAAATATGTGCTATTTCATTTACATGTATATATGTTTGGCGGCGAATATTGCAAAAAAATATAAATAATGTTGTATATACTATCCTCCAAAGAACCAATTGGTTGTTGTACGGTCAAAGGTCAAAAGTCCACTACCACCGTAAGACTGCTATCGGTTGCATTGCAGCGCTTATACACACATGCACACGCATATTTTTATCCGTGTGCGTACGCGTGCTTGTATTTATGCGTGCGCACGCTTTTTTATGCACATTATTATGAAATTACTTACACATTGCCGTGTGAACATCACTCATGGTGACAGTGGACTTTTGACCTTTGACTGTACATATTTATTATTATTAATATTTTACTCTCTTCATTATTTCTAAGAGAAGTTTAATTATATTATTGTGTCTATTTGTTACCAGCAACTGTGAATCGGTTATCCTGCCACGTGTAGCTGAGCAGATCAAAGGTCGGGAGCAAGAGTTCTGTCCCCGATGTGAATGCAAATACGAAAACAGGAATACTACCGTTATCAAGGTATGTAAGCATAACATAAGATCACGCCTTTTATCCACGAAAGGGTAGGCAGAGGTGCACATTACAGCACTTAATGCCTCTGTGCAATTTAACACCCACTTTTCACTATTTATGTTATGAGTCGCATGTAATAGGGGGTGAGCCTATTACCATATACCGGGCACAGTTCCAGACTCTGTACATACTATACATATTACTGTGAGAAAAACCCAGTAATATGTATAGTATGTAAGCATCCTGCAATCATTTGCATGCATTGCAGAATTACATCCATTTATTTGTTGTTGAAATAATTTCCACGGCCTTTTCAAAAAAAAAAGGAGGAGGTACTATGTTCGGCTGATTGTTTTTTTTTTTGTTACTCCGCCCTTTGTGAAACCCGATTTCCAAAAATTTGTTTTGTTTGAAAGGATATACTCCCGAGATGGTCCCATTGCCATGAGGTCAGGATCTGATAAATGAATCCTAGGGAAACCGAGGTGAACTTTCGAAACTTGTAGGGACGAGTAATATGTCTAAAATTTGTCAATTACCTAGTGTTTTTACACATTACGATTTGATAAGGCTCTGGAGTCGACCTGATGATGGAGCCGACAGACAGTTGAAGGAACTCCTCAAGGATAAACAGTAACTACCTTGTGTTTGGGCTTGTATAATTTGTACTGATCAGATCTTTTCACCTATGTGAATTATGAGTTGCAAAACGGATCTACGTAGCTTTACATTAAAAATGATAAAAAATCTGCGTTTAAAAAACCGACTTTAACCGACCAAAAACTAATAACAAACAAACAAAATCTAAAAAGCAAAAAATACTTATTACTTGTTCTGATAGGTTACCCACACCACCCACTGATAGGTTAGAAGTCGGTGCCATAAGCTCATATCATAATGATATCATTTAATGAACACAAAATTTTAATTTAGGTATCTATTAAGGTTTTAATGAATAATTTTGTACAGAACTTATGGCGCCAACTTCTAACCTATCAGTGGGTGGGTAACCTATCAGACCTAATCATTATTATTTTTTGCTTTTTAGTTTTTACCAATTTTTTATTAGTTTCGATTTTTTCAATTTTAGGTTTTTTAATCGCAGTTTTTATTTTTTAGGACTTTGATTGTGGTAAACTTTGGAACGAGCACTTAGTTTCACTGACATAGACTGACGGTTAATAAAAGATCAATAAAATGAAATAAATACTTCGAATTTGACTTTGGAAGCTGAGGTTGAGGACAAGAGTTCGAAATCAGAGCAAACGCCAGCTCTGATTTCGAACTCTTGTTTACTTCATTTTGGAAAGTCTCTGGCTTATAATGTAGACACTTACCTAGTACATAATAAGAATACACTACTTCAGTAGTGCATCACTGGTAAATAAAGAAATGTAAATAGATCACACACGAACCATGGATGCGAAAACTTAATAGTAGGTACAATATTGCCGCAATAATTATATTGTTCTGATTAATTTCGTTGTGGAATCAAAGATGGATTACTCCTGTCTTTAAGTTCTATGCTCATTTTTGGAAATTCGGGCTAGTCTATACTTAGGATACCTTTATTCATTATAGACATTTTAGGCTCGCGTCTTGTTATAATTAGATATTACAAAATAAACTAGTTTCCTTAGTGATATAATAAATGGTTTCGACTATTCAAGCCAATAGAATATTCAAAAATAATTGCATTCATTTATTGATTTGATAATCTACTTTTCGATTTTTTTCTAGTTTATTTTCTAGAAGACAAGTCTGCTATTTGACGTAAAAATATGATATATGGTACGCAATAAGCCTGTATATCATACAAAATTCATAGTCGTTTATCATGAAAGTATTAAATTTGACTGAAAAATTAGCCTATTGCCGAAAATTGTTCATGTGCTGTCTTATATCAAATACTTTCTCAACAAATATATTCTGAAGTCAAGTGTTATTTCATAAATTTCAGGTGGTAGTGATCATAGTGATCTGGGTGATTATGCTGCTGGTGGTGTACATGGGCTTCCTCATCTGCCTCGACCCTCTCATCAACAAACGCGCTAAGGCGTCCTACCAGGAACATACCAACGAAGATGTAAGTTTCCATTCCACCTTCTTGCACGGAAAGCTATCGCTGTGTAATCCAAAAATGATCCTAATGGAGCCGATGATTCGGTAGGATTTTGCGTGATTTGTTTTGTTTGTCTGCTTGCTCGTCGTTTTGGTTATCAGCTGTCTCTTATAAACGTTCGGTCATCTCACTAAACAGTGCAATTTCACCCATAGCTCATTTATTTGCAGTGGCGTAATTATAAAAAGTGATAGATAGATAGATAATAGCCATGTCCTGGCTATATGGCGGAAATTAAGGATCAGAACAAGCAGGGAATAGAAAGCTCTTTCTTCATATTAGAAAGAGTTACTATGCCTTCGCCACTGCAAGGACGCTTTCGCATTTCATATTAAATTTTTACTTAAACATTACCACTCATCATTGGACACTTCCTACGTACAATCGAATAGCAAATGATTCTACGTGTGTCTTTATTTGATGTGTGTCTCATCTATTCGGATTCGGATCATCCTAATGAACTAACTGATGGAGAAACTGCTATAATAAAGGAGTAGGATAACCGGGTATAGAAAATTACTTACTTGTAGGTCACCCCAATTCAATTTTTCGGGTGAATTAGTCTTCATGCAATTCATCTTCATAAAACAAGTATCAAATCTTCACAAACAAGTAATAAACACAATTACCAATATGCGAGCTATATTTGGACGGCTTGTAGTATAAAGCGCGATTGAAAAACTCAAAATAACATACGTAGGAAGTGTCTGTCCATTTGACAGACAGTTTTAAATGTATATGAGGCCGATGTTTCCTATCTTAGGCCTCGTTTATGGAGACGCGGAGCTTTGTGCGCCGCGTGAGGCACACTCTTGAACGGTTTGCGGCGCGGACTGTACGTCAGTGCCGGTTCCGGCGTGGGGCGGGCGTGGTGTCTTGCGTGCTTCGCTACGGCATACGCAACAGGATCCAAAGCTGATTCCGCCGGGTAATCTATACATGGGTGACACATAATTTAACCAAAACAATGACGAAAAGGTTTGCTACAAGAGTCGGTTGGTTACTGGTATGTAGGCGGCTGAACCACAACATGGCAATTGGCTCCATGTTAACAAGGGACTTATACGCAACAGAATACGCTCACACTAATACAGGACGCGTCTCCATAAACACTGAACATTTCATTCGCTTCGTGTCACACGTCATCTTCATTGTGACCATTATATCTCAATGTGGACATCATAAACGCAGCCTGTCTAAAACAACTAGTATTACATGCATGTATTGTTGGTTCCACAGGACGAAAGTACGCTCGGTGGGCCATCACAGCAGATGGGAGCGCGTGGCAACGTTCTCAACAGAGTGACGCACCAACAGGACAAGTGGAAGCGCCAAGTCCGTGAGCAGCGCCGCAACATCTACGACAGGCATACGATGCTGAACTAGGACCCGCTTCATACCTCATCCGTGGCGTAGCAATACTAAGGTAAACGTTTACCGTGGGCCCTGATATTTCTAAGTAGATAGTTGTCCAAGTATATAGGACTATCTCTACCAAATATGTGGTTTGCAGTTTTCAATAGTGCTGCAAACAGTGCTTGAAGACATTATATGCAGTTTTCTATTCATACAACTTCTAACTTTGATTGGATTTTTCCTAAAATTGGAAAATCTATACCAAAGTTCAAAATTGCAAACGTAACATATAGAATTTGAAATTCGGGGCCCTAGTGCTGCGCCTTCTATGGATGGAGGTAGGTGAAAAAATATTTCAATGAATCCCTTGCTTCGAGGACAGACTAGTATATGATAGAAAGCTATAGCAGTATAAACTCTGAAATATTATATTCAATGCACATTTACAAATAAAAAAATTTTGAAACATTTTTAACATTATACACACATGTTATATACAATCAAGACTTATTATTCGCTAGATTGAGTAGGACTTTATTGATATATTTACCATTTACATGATTGTAGATACACGTTGAAACAGTCCCGCACCATTTACAGTTACGACTAAGGGCCGACTTTTCCAACGCCAGTTAAATTTTAACTGAAGAATAACTTTGAATATTTGACAATTCTTCCATACTAAAAACTGTCAAAAGTCATTTCTATTCTACAGTTAAAAATTAACTAATGATGATGGAAAATCGGCTCTAATCACCGTACTCAGAGTCAGTTAAGGGCTCCTTAACCCAGTCCTCAGCAATTGTTTTAGAAACAAATACGTAACTAAGGAATAGTTTAAGTAATCATTAAACGTCTCTGAGTATCCCAGCAAGGGCAGATTTTCCAACGCCAGTTAAATTTTAACTGATGAATAAGTTTGAATATTTGACAATTCTTTTAACTGTCAACTCTCAAATTTATTCTTCAGTTCAAAATGAACTGCAGCTGTAGCCAAATGCCATTTAGCGCTTGTCTACATGTAGAATAGAAAACCAAATTATATGGAATTGACGTAAATTTTGACACTTGTCAGTGTCATCCCCATATATTTAGTTTCCTACTTTCTCTGTAGACAAGCGCTAAAAGGGCGTTCGGCTAAAAAGCACTGATGATTGGAAAATCGGCTGTGAATAGTTTGTAATCCAGTCATTTTGTAACAGTTAATTGTCATTGCTAAGCAACCGTTAATAACAAGAGAACTAAGAACGAAGAAAAACACGACAAATATTCATGAATATATCTTCAACTCTTCATAGTTGGTAAGGTTTAGTATAAGGTTTGCCAGCATCTAGCTTCGATTAGGTTATATGCTGATAAAAGACTACCAAATGAAAGACAAGAGTCTAAATAGTGAAAGTTTACATTATATTAATTAGTTATATTATATTTAAATTGTTATTTATGAGTCTAAGACAGGCCTGGTTAGGCTACCGTGATTGATATTAATGTGGTATAAAATTTTAGAGGAAAGTGGTCAATGTCTTCCATGGAGTAAATACCAACAATCTTAGTAGGTATGCATTGTAAAAATTCACTGCTATTATTTCCAATATTGTATTGTATATTTTTGACATTGCACGATTCACGTTCATATCTTTTAGGGATATAAAAAATAAGCACTCGTATGTATGTTTTCGATGTATTTGTATTCAGACGAGTAATGATATTAATATTTACCTCTGTTATGAATGTTGAAGTTTTTGATATGTCTTTACTGCACCGTAACATTCGATTAATGGGGAAGATGACAGGGTATGAAAATTAAAAATATAATTAGTCCGTAACTTAGGTAATAAAAAAATATTAGACACGTATTTTTTTATTTTGTTGTATAATAAAACATTACTTAGATAAAACGAATCAAAGTTTAGGAGTGGGGGCTAAAACGTCATTTCTTAGTATAAAATGTACTGAGAAGTGACGTCACGCGACATTTCAATACAATATATCTTCGAAACTATTCGTTTCCGTAAGAAAATAAAAAATACGTGTCTAATGTTTTTAAATAATCTACCAGACGGACATTAAAAAAAAAATTAGTCGTCTTCCCCATTATAGCACTAATGATAACTTGCTTGTGATAGTAGTGTCATAGTATAATGATCATATTGTGATGTTCCATACGTACACAGATATCACTAACTCGCACCACAGACAACGATAAATGCTTAAAGGTAGTAGAAATTGAAAGTGAGAAGTCTGTCTGTCCTCGAAGCTTATACGGAGTATTTGTAGGATAAGCGCATAGTATACAATCAAATAAAATAAAAATCATGTAAACAATCCCATATTATATTAATGTTAAGGAGAAGTAATGAAACAAACGAACTTGTTCAATACATTTACTATACAATTATGATAACATTGGATATTTGCAAATTCATCGAATATAATTACAATATCATGGAATTTTGGTAATAGATGTGAAATAAGGTAATTACAAATATTATCTTCAATTTTACCATAGTAACCAGTTTTAGACCATTAGATCAATGTTAAGACATTTTTTATGATTATTATTATTATGCTCACACTATATGAGTATATAATTAGGTGTTGTATTAACTCTAGGGTAATTTCAAGTTCTTTATCCTAAATACAGAAAATTCATGTTACAAATGTAATATTCTCATCTGATTTTACATGCACACAATTCAATATACCGGTAATATTCCATTTATATTCAATCCAATAACAATTTGTACACGTGATTTCATGTATTTAATATTTATTCTTCTTAATGTTAAGATTATAATCTTTTAGCTTCGGCGTAGTCGGGTAAAAAGACGAAACTATTGACTAGATAATGTAACCAAAAGGGTAAAATAAAATTATATAAGCCAATGTAAGACTAGATTACGATTTTGCACTTAGAAAATTCTAGATGGTAGTATGCACCCAAAATATTAGTAATACTCGTTTAAAACTATTTATATATGTATGTGTATTAAGTAGATATATTTAACTTTAATATCATAGTATAATAACTGTTTTGTAACATGCTTATGAAGTATTAATACAGAACATTTTAAAGTATAATTCAATATTCAATCAATTGACATACTTTAGATGGTATGGCATTACTCAAGATTAAATTAAATTACATTTGATGTTTTACTGTAAAATCAACAAATAATTAATATTTCATCTGTATTTAGTATAAAAAATAATATACACACAATCTTTGGAATTTCTTTTAGAGGTAATAAATGTCGTGTAATTGAAAAATTAAGTCATGATAATCTTATTGATGTTTGCAATATATTTAACGAAAGTATTAAATGTTGTCAGCACCACATTTAGGCATAATAATTATGTGTATAAATCGTAAATGTAGAATATCTAAACCTTTGTTTTGTATTTTTTATTTAAAATCTGTATATTTTGGTCATTGTTTTTTTTACTTTTTATTGCTAAGTATACATAAGTAATTGCATGTAAACAATTTTATTTATTTAATTTCATCAAAAAAATGGAAGTATGATATACCTTAAGCTTATTTACGTTTCTGTGGTAACGCCTTATTATGTCATTTAACTACAGAGAGAATTGTTCTAGTCGTTCAACAGCTTGCATTAACTGAATACAACTTTAAGGTGCTCCCTCACCGAGAGCATTCGCATTGTAATGTAACGTTACAGGTCTGAGCATTACATCAGTGAAGGAGGAGAACCGAGCGTTACAATGCGCACCTTGTAATGATACGATGTGTAATATCTTGATACAACTTGTAACATCAATATCTGGCATCTTGCTATGAAATGCTCAAAGTCGAATCTATATGTTACATTACACGCAAATGCTCGTTAGTCAGGGAGGTATTATTGTAATGTAATGCTCAAAGTCGAATCTATACTCTTACATTACACGTGAATGCTCCGGTGAGGGAGTAGCTTTAAACCATCGGGTAGTGTTACGTGCACTGTACTGGATAAAAGTTTTTGTTATTTATGACGCCTTGTTGCGAATTCCCGAAAATGTGTTGGGCCACGATCTAATTTGTCGAATGTACATATGTTTATTATTCGAATAACTTATATTATAACTGCTTCTATAACAATTTTTACACCGTGAATGTGTGAATTATACACATTATCCACGATTCCCCTCGGTAGCTAAACAACTAGACAGACATTGAAAAGATAGTCGTCATCCAAACATTTCAACAATGAGAATATACATTAATAAAATATATTAAGTAAATAGCCACTACGTTATTGTAGAGCAGTGTATAACTATAGTTTAGCGATTAGCTTAAATTAATCAGCATCACCGTCAGGCCTTAGATGTAGATCATGTACTCAAAGCTTAAACAATAAACATTTCCTTGTTAAGTTTTTAATGCCAGTTTGCCAGCCTCAAGACTTGAGTCCATGTGCGTTTTCATCATAAAATATACAATGGCGGAGTATTCGTCAACAGCCTATAAATGCCCACTGCTGAGCAAAGCCTCTCTCACACGGAGAAGGTTTGAGCATTAATCACCACGCTTACTCAATGCGGGTTGGCGATTACAAAGTTATAATTAGAAATTATAAGCCCAGGTTTCCTCTTGTCCTGTCCTCTTTTCTTCACCGTTTGTCAGTGGTGTCTAGGTAATCTTAGAAAGTACATATAACTCGGAAAAAGTCACATTAGTACTTGCCGTTGGTAGGTTTCGAACCCGTACCCTCATGCATGACAAGCGGGCGTCTTGAATCCCCGGGCACCACGACATTTTTATTCATCGAGATTAAAAGCGAATGACCCAATCAAATAAATGAACCGGGCGAGGTAGATGAAACTGTTTAGAAGAACTAAAAGATCGTGTCCTTGAGACTGGCTAAGCTTTATGTAAGTTCAATAGTATTTAAATTGTAAACGAAATCTATCCTCGTTTTATAGATGGTCGCAGTTTCACATTCTTTATCCAATGATGATAATCTATAATGTAATTAGTGAATATTTTTCTTTTGCAAGTAATTTCCGATAATATTTGTATTTAATACATTATTTATTGATTTTATGTGTTGCTGCGTATTCATTGTTAACTTTTATTACAAAATGTGTGTAATTTAATAATTAATTGTGTTTTTGCGACATTATTGTATTGTGTATTCTCTTCTACATCTATCGCATCTATTGTAGGTTATACTTTAATTAAATTGTCATGTAAATATTTAATATAATACGTGTTATCTCTTGATTAATTAAATAAATACGATTTAAATGGATGTCTTATATATTTTACAGTTCGCTCCTTAGTCTCTCCTCAAAAATGTGACGTTTTTAGTAAATAGGTACTAAAATTTAGTTTTCAGATGACTGCTTTGATGGCCTAGTGGTCGTACGTTCAACTGCCGGGCAAGGAGGTCCCGGGTTCGATTCCCGGGCGGGCAAAGTACAAGTGGGTTTTTAAAAAAATCTCAGTTGTAGCTCGGAGTCTGGAATTGTGCCCGAGACCTATATGGCAAAAGGCTCACGCCCTGTTACATGGGACTCATAACATAAATAGTGAAAAGTGGGTGTTACATTGTACAGTGGCTTATGTGCCGTAATGTGCATCCCTGCCTAACCCTTCAGGTATAAAAGGCGTAATGTTATGATGATGATGTTTTTAGGTTTATTAATTCCAAAAACCAAGGACGTTGAATAATATTCAGTCCCAGCCTCTTGAAACAACGACTGTGGCACCTGAAAACTATAGACTTACACGAAGAAATTATACACGTTGACATAAAGGACATCTGTCATTTCCTTATAGTCTGGTAACCCACACACATGCACACATAAATAACCTTTTTTTAAGGGGGTAAAATCATCAAATTACTTCTCCCGCCTCGGTGAGGCGGGAGGGAGTATCAGACTTACTGACTATAAACACGTTCGTACTCCTGCCGTTCCAGCCGGAGCCCCGGCAACCCGTTCAATTCTCCGCGGCTCCTTATCCTATTGGTCCATCCGTCCATAGAATAGTAAAAACTAGTTTTTAAAAACTCTTTTATAAGTAAAATGTAATGTCACTATATTATGTC